CCGCAATTCTTACCTCTCTTAAATAATTTAGTTAAGTACAGCTGCTTTAAAATGTAAGCATGACAGTATGACCCTGAGATTTCCTTATATTTTTGTGAATAAAGAAACATGGGATTGAAGTTAGAATCGGTCATACTTTGATTAAGAGTAACCATCATGTATCTCCAGATTATTTTTGTAGTCCCTAGTAGTCCACCTGACATCTCTGCCCTGCTGCACAAAAGAAAATGTTAGATACAGTTCTCTTTTAAACTAGTCCAGGGCTTCCTCCAGTTCTTTCAAGGTAACAAAGATAAAGACTATTTTCCAGAGGGGAAAATTAACAGGTCCTAAGGGCAGGTAATTATCAGAACTGAAAACCTGTCTACCCATCCACCACTGTTTTCAGTTGTTTTACTATTAATGTGGAACCAGTCCACTGTTGCATAACAATACCTTTCGCTTTCATAGATGATTAACATGTCATCTCTTTTGTGATATTTTTCCTTTGAACATTTGTAATTAAAGAACAGTCAAGCAAGACATAGTTGTTTGTTAAACTGTGTTGAAATAATGCTAATTCACAAGTAATTCTCTTGTTGTCCACCTCAGTGCAGTGTTTACCAAAAGATTGCTCGATTGTCTGGTGCCACAGGAATTTCATGAGCAGGCCAGGTCATAGCTGTGTAATTTGTCAAAGGGTCTCTTTCAACCTTTCTTAGGCTTTGTATTTGTAAAGAGAAGAGTTTTTAAAAAATATGTTTAGAAAACAAATGCCAGGTTAAGTTCAAAGAGGCAGAAAAACTTGAAGCTATTTTTGTCTTAATATGAGGAGAATGAAGGTTTGAGTTCTTGAGTTGATATTTTCCCCTTTGTAACCATGTGGTCAAAATTATTATTATTATTATTATTATTATTATCGTCATAAATCAAACATAGTTTTTTAAATACTCAGAACACAAGAGTGATACCAGTAAAAAATATACTTGAATCCTAATGTAACTTTACTCCAGGAAGTTAAAAGGAAGAAAATTTCATGTTACCTCCCTGCACTTACCACAGCTCCATTTTAGAAAGTTTTTCAAACAACTGAAGAAGGGTGGAGGACATTTGAGTCCTCCACTTTACCTTGAATTGCTTTAGGTTCTGATTCAGAATTATTGATAGCTGTTAAGGCACCTCTGACTTTTATTCTGTAAACAAAAATCCTCTGTTTCTCAACATTTTTCTGACCATAGCCCCCTTCCAACTTTGTTTCCTTCCTGTGTCCCCACTGTCCTACCCAGGATATTCCATGGGGGTCCAGATAAAAATCATGTATTTACAAAAAAGTAGAGGTCTCATTATGGTGTTTTGTCTTTATAAAAATGTATATGTGAATGTCAGTATGGTTAAGATATTCTAGTTATTTCAAAAATTCTTAAATTTATTTTGTCAGGGTGGTGGGGCGAGCGGTTGATTGATCTTGATGGTCCACAATGTATCCAATATTTGTCTCAGTGGTCCACTGTCTCTTATAAATTGGGAACCCCTGTCTTAAAGAGAAGGGGCTAACTCTGGATCCCTCCCATAATGGCTATTTACAATATGAGGCTAACCTCCCCTAACTAAGGGGGAAACAGAAGAGGTTTATGTGGGGGCATGACACTTCCCATAAAAAATGAGCAATTTAAGGAATGCTTAAGAAGCACTTTGTCTTCTTGAACCAGTGAAATGCTTTTAAAAATAGGGTTTTATACAAAATTGTATTATTTTAAGATTTGTACATAAAAGAAGATACAGAATTGCAGAAGTAATATTTCTTAATACTAAAAGTCAACTCCACCCTCAAAAAAGGAGCCCACCTTGCTTCAAAATCAAATTATTCCTCCCTTTAATTTGCCATGGTTTCAATTCCTTTTCTTATCCTCTACTTCTTGACTCCCTTCGTATTTCAGTCAGGGGGCACGGTTGTTGTTAGTTTTGCTTATTTTTAACTGTTTGTTTAAACTATTCTGTGTTTAATTCAGTATTAATGTTTATATGTTATAGGTTTAAAATTGTGATTTGTGATGTTTTTAGTATTGTTAACTGCCTTGAGTCTTGTTTAATAGAAGAAAGCAGGATATAAACAAATTAAATAAAAATAAGGCAGGGGACAACAACTTTGGAGGGTGGCTGTACCCTTCCCTCTGAAATTGTCTGAAAACTGTCCCCCAGATCTGGTCTTCATTGTCAGTATATTTGTTTTGGGTTGTTTTTTTTTTGTTTTTTTTGGTTTTTTGGATACTTTTGAGATATTTGTTACTGTTGGAGACCTCAAAGAATGGTCACTAACAACTTGGGGGTAGTTTCTATCTGCAGAATTGAGGGAGGATAATTACCTAAGCATATACAGCACACAAATCCAGGTTTACATTTCCATAAGCACTGGTGTAACCTACTTCATGAGCTGATCATATAAGTGGGTCTTCATTACTTGGGAGGGTAACATGCTACTGAATTACATACTGCTAAAATAATTTTTGTTTTGTTATGAAATTAAGTATTATTATATTTGAAATAGTGTGGATCCGAAAGCAGCATATTTTGTTTGACCATAGAATATTAGGAGGGTCAGCCCTTGTTAGTGTGTAGTTTGATGGGAGACTTCAAAGGAATGACAGGTCCCCTAGGATGCATTTGAGAGCAGGACAATGGAAAATGACCTTTAAATATTACTTGCTTAAGAATATCCTAAGAAGTTCATGACAAGTGACTTAAAGGTGTATGCATATACATTTTTATCAATAATATCCTTAATTTTTCCTCTCACTTGATACATTTCTGTTTGTCCTCTCAAACTTACTTTGTATATTGTATCTAGAAGTATCACAAACTGAAGGAAGACATCATGGATGATTCTAGCTAAAATAACGTATTTTTGAGGAGAATCCTGTCAAAATTGTGTTTAATATTACATTGTATTCCTGATTCTTTTGAAAACTTTAGTACTGATTCCCTCCCCCTCCCTCCACAAGAATTCTGACAGTACAATCTTAGACATGCCTACTCAGATGTGGACTAATGAGGGCATTGCAGTTTACTCCCAGGAGGATGATTGTAATCCAATTCTCTTTATATAGTGTAGGATTTCCCTGTCCCGTATATTCATTACATTTAGTATACAATGGGAGTAAACCGTGGTGGGCTGGCCAGGGTGACAGCTTGCCCAATGGGTTATGTGAGGCCAATGCATACATTACATAAATTTTATTTTATTTCTTATATAAATTAAATTATAGCCTTATAGCTTTGGGTGGTCCCCCTTTGTCTCCTTGCACCCAATATTTTTAGACCAGTCTGCCACTGGGGGTGAGAATGTGCTCCTTTAGATGTTACCCTGAAGCTCTGCATTTCTTATCATTGACCATTCTATTCAGGACTGTTGCAGTATGTAGTAGAGCATCATCTGTAGGACCTCATAATTTTCACACTTGCAGTCACAGTAACAACATGATCCTTTTCAGAAGATATAGATGGAGGTAGACACCAAGGCCAAAGCTCACAGGCAAGTTTTGAAAATTATAGGAATATCTTTGTAGCAGGTTTTTTAGATCTTTTATTTATACTCATTGAATGTTGTGTGGTTTGTCTGGTGAGTTTGGTGTGGCATTTTGAAAATTTCCCAAAGGTACTGACAGGCTAGCATTTTATTTTTGCAAAAGTATCTCTCAGGCCCAGATGTACTTTGGAATAGTGTTGCAAAAGGAAATAACAGATGGATTCATAGTTCTGTGTTGCCTTGGGGCCTTGTGGCTTCTCTTTCTCAAGTGTTTCAGACACATTAGCGTGAACCATTGAAAGGTTAGTGCATGCCATGTGGTTAGACACAATATCCAAGCTGTCCATGACATATTTCTGTTCCCCTCTTCAAACTAGAGTGGATTGACAGACAAAAAATAAGAAAAAACAACAATAAAATGAAGCCAGTTCAGAAACAAATATTTTAAAAGTTGGTAGAGACTTCAGTAATTAAACAATAATTATTGAATGCCTAAATGTCATTGGAAACAAAACAACTTTCACGTGAACCTCCCACAAGTCTCCTTCAAAACAGCCTTTGTGGTGTCACAGAGATAGCCCTGTCTTACACCACCACCTTCTGCACTTTGCTTAGCAGAGATTCACTGAAAAGGACTATATTATATCCCAAGATACCAAATGAGTGTGTATTCAATTTAATTCAGATTTCCATATTAGAATTAAAACGATTGAATGTTAACGCTACCTTCTGCTAAGTGATGCATTAACAGAGCAACTGTTTAAAAACATGTTGAAGATATTTGGCCTTTAATACATTCAGTGCATGTTGTCTATTTTCTCCCTTTAGATTACTGCAATGACTTCTTAATTGAATTATTCCTATGACTTCTTAATTGAATTATTGGAATAAAAACACTGAGTGTGGTACTTATAAAAATCAAGATAAGGGTTTGAAATTGTCTATGGATAAGCTTTAAATATACTGAATATTATGAGGTTACTGATTTTGTCTATTATTATTGAAGTCTGGTGAAATGATACAAACCAATTTCAAAGAAACTACTTCAGTGTTTTGTGTGTGTGTGTGTGTGTGTTTGAAAAGTGGATCTGTGACTCTGAATTTGCCTAACAACTACTGTATTATCTGTGATAATAAAATTGTGTGTCTGATTTATAAACTTTGTACATCTTCATATCAGATGCTAGAGAAGCTGTTGCAGCAGGCTCTGCTGGCATCCTAATCACTAACAAACATATATATTTTTGATGTCAACTTTTAAAATTGTTTAGAAAAGATAGCTTATATCAGGCATCCTCAAACTGCAGCCCTTCAGCTGGAGGATGTCTGGCTTATATAAAAATATATACCAAGGCCACACTCATATCCGATATACTCTCCCTTTCTCTTTTTTTCTTTTTCTTTAATCATACTTTTAAAAAGTTGAATTAAAGCCAGTTTTTAAAATGTAATGATTTGAGTGAATCTTTTGATTTGTGTTTTTTTTCTTATTTCACAGCTTTTATCCAGTCAGATAACTTAATCGAAGTTCTGCGCTTTGATGAAGGAGGTTTATTACAGGTAAATATTTTCCATTAAATATTTATATAGAAACAATTTGAAGAGGGTGACATCTTCATATTGTTCGTTGTGCCACTTCCTCTTTCGGCCTATTGGCATTAAAGAATTCCTGGGTCTTAGTACACAGAAAAAATCATTCAGATCGCATGATACAGCTTTACATGAAGGATGAAGTAGCTGCCATAGCAGGGCAGTGATAGGAACTGACTAATTGCAATCAGCTAAATTATGAATTAAGTTTGAAATCTGCTAATAAATGTTGGCAGCTTAATTAACTTTATTTTTTCTTGATAGTGGGTGACTTAAGTTGGAATTTTGGCACAATCACATATACAAAATTAAGGTACCGTGCATACTCGAATATAAGCCATCCTGAATATAAGCCATCCCGAATATAAGCCATCCCGAATATAAGCCGAGGCACTTAATTTTACCACAAAAAACTGAGAAAACGTATTGACTTGAGTATAAGCCGAGGGTGGGAAATACAGCTACTGGTAAATTTCAAAATAAAAATAGATACCAATAAAATCACATTAATTGTGGCATCAATAGGTTAAAATGTTTTTTTTAATATTTACATAAAACTCTAATTTAAGATAAGACTGTCCAACTCTGATTAAATCATTATTCTAACCTTCTTCAATGTAAATTGCTTACGTATCCTTCCAATAATCACCATAGTTTATTTTAACAATACATTTTGCGGGAAATGCTGTATGTATAAAAAGGGAAGATTGGAGCAGGAAAGGGGTGCTGGAAAAGTGGGGGGAAATTGAGGTGGGAAAGGAGGAAGTGGGAAGGACTGATGAGAGGAAGGTGCGTGGCCTCTCCTCCCTTCTTGGCACAGCAGGAGGAGAGGAAGGCGTGCAAGAAAGGACAGGAACGTGCTCAGCCTCTCCTCCTCTCTCGGCACAGCAACCCAGCTGGGTTGCTGTGCTGAGAGGTGAACATCCTAGCAAGAACATGTGGGGCTAAAAAAAGAGCTTCTTTTGGCCTCACACCTTCCTGCCAGGACCCTCACTCACGTATAAGCTGAGGGGGACTTTTTCAACCTAAAAACGGCTGAAAAACTAGGCCTTTACTTGAGTATATACAGTATTATATTTTTAATTGATAAATGAGCCACAATGCTAAAAAGCCAGAAAACCTTACAATACCTAGTTGGTTTTGTACTCAAGACATAGTTCTGTTGGACTATTTTGAATCTACCACTTGTTTTTCAATAGTTTGCCAGGGTTGGAGAATTAAATGCAACAGATCTCCATGAATATTGTAAATACCTTGTGAAGCTTATTGCTTGACAAAGTTGTTTACAATTGAATGCAAAATGTCTCGTTGAATGACATAAAGTTCTTTATTTACAGGTAATATCAATAGTGTATTTCTTTGGATCTAACTGTTTGATTGGTGTGATATCTAACTCATACATAGGTGTTGTATTTGATACTTTGCATTTGAACTGCTATACTGTGATGTAGTACTGAAATGTCACTTGTGATTTCAGCTTTGTTATCAGGAATACATCTGAGAGAGGAGTATTTTGTGGATCTGTATTTCCTTGCTGATTTTCTTATTATCTTTTAAATATTTCAAAAGTCTTTATGTGAAATAGCAATCTGCTTTGATAAACTTCAGCAAAAGATACAACAACAGTAGCGGTTGTTGTTTTGTCATTCTAGGGCTTTTCACTTCTGTTTTTCTAATAATAATCAGAAAAGAGGAAACCAGTTACACTTTTATGATTTATACTGATTTCTTCCAGTGACATTTTAACATCAATATAAAGATACAGTTCTGGTTTTCCAAATAGTTAAAACTTAGACATGGTGCTTGTTCTGACTTATTGCATGGAGCCAGAGTCCTCAAACTTTTTAAGCCTAAGGCTGGTTCATGTTCCCTCAAACTGTTGGGGGGGGGGGGGGGCAGACTATAGTTTTAAAAAAAACACGAACAAATTTCTATGCACATTGCACATATCTTATTTGTAGTACAAAAGCACATGAAATAACAATAAAAGGTAAAAGTAAACGTTTCCCCTGACATTCAATCTAGCCATGTTCAACTCTGGGGGGTGGTGCTCATCTCCATTACTAAGCTGAAGAGCCAGCGGCATTGGCTGTAGACACCTCCAAGGTCATGTGGCCAGCATGACTGCATGGAGCACAGTACAATATTTAAAATAAAGAACACTTTTAACCAACATAACCTTACCAGTATTTCAATGGGAAGAGTGGGCCTGCTTTTGGCTGATGAGATAGTCAAGTTTATTAGGATTGTTGTTGTTGTATGCCTTCAAGTCATTTCAGGCTTAGGGCATCCCTAAATCTAAAGTTTAGGGTGGGAGCCAGGTAAATGACCTTGGAAGGCTACATCCAGTCTGTGAGCCTTAGTTTGTGGACCCCTGGCATAGAGTGACACATTCATGCATGAATGTACAAATGGGAGTATTTGAAAAAAATGTGGAGTTTTCATCCATGGTGTCTTCAGTGTGAGATTTGAATAAAAAGTCTCTCCCATTAAATAGCAAAGTCATAAGCCAAGAACAAACTTCTGATAAGCCAGAGTTTTTGATTCACACATTAAAGTAAATAATCCATGGACAGCAGAAACAGGTAAGTGAAATAGTCAAGTGGTGCACATATCCAAACACACATTGTAATTGAAGATGAAAAACAACAGCTCTCAAATGTTAAGAAGATTTCAAGATCTTAATAGTATAAGAATTTAAAGCCTGCTTTTAAGTAGGCTTTTGACCTTGTATGATAGCTTCATCATCTAACAAACTTCAGGGAAAAAAATTCTGCCTTTCAACATTAGAATGTTGTAGTTCATCATTATTTAAAATAGCCCGGTAACTCACAGAGAGGCTTTTTATTTAGCATTCTTTTAGAAATTATTTATCTCACTTGCTGAATCAGAGTTTATTGAGCCCTGGCTTTAATTGAGCAATTGATTGTATCATTCCTTGTCAATTGCATGAAAAATGACGAAACTATTTTTTTATATTTGCTTAGGTATAGTTAGCACTAAACTATCTTGCAGAAGGTTCTTGTGGGTTTTTTCGGGCTATAGGGCCATGTTCTAGAGGCATTTCTCCTGACGTTTCGCCTGCATCTATGGCAAGCATCCTCAGAGGTAGAATTTTATCTCCTATCACTTATGAATATTAATGACAGTTATAGACTAAGTAAAGGAGTTAGCACATAAAGCTACATTTTAAGCGTAGAAAGAGACGGGGGGATTTATTACATATGTTTTAGGGATGTTTTCCTTACTCCTATGGTCCATATATTGGTTCTTTGTTATTTAAGTATAATCCCTGAGTTAAATTTCAGTTATGCCAAAAACAACTAGGTAGAAGCCTACAAAGGTGTTCATTGTTGTAGAACTGCAGTATACATTCCACCTAGAATCATAGAATCAAAGAGTTGGAAGAGACCTCATGGGCCATCCAGTCCAACCCCCGCCAAGAAGCAGGAATATTGCATTCAAATCACCCCTGACAGATGGCCATCCAGCCTCTGTTTAAAAGCTTCCAAAGAAGGAGCCTCCCCCACACTCCGGGGCAGAGAGTTCCACTGCTGAACGGCTCTCACAGTCAGGAAGTTCTTCCTAATGTTCAGATGGAATCTCCTCTCTTGTAGTTTGAAGCCATTGTTCCGCGTCCTAGTCTCCAAGGAAGCAGAAAACAAGCTTGCTCCATCCTTCCTGTGGCTTCCTCTCACATATTTATACATGGTTATCATATCTCCTCTCAGCCTTCTCTTCTTCAGGCTAAACATGCCCAGTTCCCTAAGCCGCTCCTCATAGGGCTTGTTCTCCAGACCCTTGATCATTTTAGTCGCCCTCCTCTGGACACATTCCAGCTTGTCAATATCTCTCTTGAATTGTGGTGCCCAGAATTGGACACAATATTCCAGATGTGGTCTAGCCAAAGCAGAATAGAGGGGTAGCATTACTTCCTTAGATCTAGACACTATGCTCCTATTGATGCAGGCCAAAATCCCATTGGCTTTTTTTGCCGCCACATCACATTGTTGGCTCATGTTTAACTTGTTGTCCACGAGGACTCCAAGATCTTTTCTACACGTACTGCTCTCGAAGCCAGGCATCCCCCATTCTGTATCTTTGCATTTCATTTTTCTGCCAAAGTGGAGTATCTTGCATTTGTCACTGTTGAACTTCATTTTGTTAGTTTTGGCCCATCTCTCTAATCTGTCAAGATCGTTTTGAATCCTGCTCCTGTCCTCTGGAGTATTGGCTATCCCTCCCAATTTGGTGTCGTCTGCAAACTTGATGATCATGCCTTCTAGCCCTTCATCTAAGTCGTTAATAAAGATCCTTGAACAGGACCGGGCCCAGGACGGAACCCTGCGGCACTCCACTTGTCACTTCTTTCCAAGATGAAGAGGAAGCATTGGTGAGCACTCTCTGGGCGTCCATTTAACCAATTACAGATCCACCTCACCGTAGTTTTGCCTAGCCCACATTGGACTAGTTTCCTTGCCAGAAGGTCATGGGGGACCTTGTCGAAGGCCTTACTGAAATCCAGGTACGCTACATCCACGGCATTCCCCGCATATACCCAGCTTGTAGCTCTATCGAAGAAAGAGATCAGATTAGTCTGGCATGACTTGTTTTTGATAAATCCATGTTGACTATTAGCGATGACTGCATTTGTTTCTAAGTGTTTGCAGACCGCTTCCTTAACAATCTTTTCCAGAATCTTGCCCGGTATCGACGTGAGGCTGACCGGACGGTAGTTGTTTGGGTCATCCTTTTTTCCCTTCTTGAAGATTGGGACCACATTGGCCCTCCTACAATCTGCTGGAACTTCTCCCGTTCTCCAAGAACTCTCAAAGATGGTTGCCAATGGTTCCGAAATGACTTCCGCTAGTTCCTTCAATACTCTGGGTTGTAGTTGATCTGGCCCTGGGGACTTGAACTCATTAAGAGCGGCCAGGTATTCCTGGACGACTTCTTTCCCAATTTGGTGC